GTGTGGGAGGCAAACTGTTGATGTGTCACTTTCACATCGATGTTTCTCTTTCTCCCTCTCCCTCTCCCTCATCCCTCCCTTTTACTCTCTAAAGATCAATGAAAAAAAAATATCCTCTGGTGAGGATTAAAATAGTCACTTTCACATCGATGTTTCTCTTTCTCCCTCTCCCTCTCCCTTATCCCTCCCTTTCACTCTCTAAAGATCAATGGAAAAATATATCCTCTGGTGAGGATTAAAAAAAAAAAAGAAAAAAAGCTTCCCTTGACTCATATGCCCTACAATTTCTCCGCTTTCCTTCTCCACAAACTCCATTGCTTGATGGATTATTCTCTCAGTCCATTCCACTCAGGTTTCTGTCCCCACTCATCCGCTGACCCGCTCTTACAAAGATACATCTCTGTTCTCATTTACTGTGCCTCGCCGGTCCAGCACAGCTGACCCCTCCCTTCCTAAACACACTGCTCCCTAATCTACAGCACTGCCGTGCCTGTCCTTGTTTCAACGTCCACACCTTCATTTTCTTTGCTTGGTCTTTTCTTTTGCTCGTTTTCTAAATATTGGTGGGCCACAGTGTTTAGAAAGTACTTCTTGTCCTTTCCAAATACAGTCTTTGCCTTCTTAAACTTCCATGGCCTCCTGCTCTCAGCACCATCTCTAGTCTTCCCATCTGAGTCCTGGACTTTCTAATATTCGATGCTTGCTTTATACCCACTTGGGTATCTAGTCAGTATCTGAAACGTAACATGTACAGAGCAGAACTCTTGATTTTTCTCCCAAACATCTGCTCCTTTCTAGTCTTCACTGTGTCAGTGAAAGGCCCCACCCTTTACCTAGTAACTGAAGCCCAAACGCCAGGAGTCAACTCTGCTGGCTTCTGTGCTGACCAGAGCTCATCTTCCCCAGTCACCCCAGCTCCCTGCCTTTGAGACCATAAGGCCCTGGCAGCTGCTGTCCTCACAGACCAAAGAGCCCCATGTGTGGTGCTAACTGACAATGAAAGACCTCGATGCTGGCCAGCTGGACCTGTGGATCCTCTGGAGAGACGGATCGCACACCAAGAGTAAGTGGGTTAAAGCTTGTGGGGAAGACTTCGATGATGGGAGGCAGGCTAAGCTTTTCCTTCTTCCACCACCGGACTGCTTCCAAGACACACGGTTCATCCAGTCTCTCCGAGGAAGTTCTACAGGAAAAGCGATCATCAGGGTTGGTTTTTGAAGCTGATGCCAGCTTAACATACACCTTGTATTTATTCTCCCGCTTTCCTGCCTCACTTCTCTTTTTCTCCCTCGCTCTGGCTTCCCTGGGATCCTGCTCCCACAGAGTTAGTTACCTTAGGCCTCAGACTCTCTTTCCCAGGCAACCCAAACTAAGACACCATCTTGGATTCCTTTCCTTTTTCTTTTTTTTTCTCACTTCCAAATCCAATCCATGTTGAGTTGACCTGTTTTTCAACATAGTCCAACTCTCTTTTATCTTCCCCTCTGTTTTCACCTTGTCTAGTCTGCGGTCATCTCTTACCTAGATGACTCCTTGTGTAGCTTCCTAACTGGTCTCCTGCTCATTCTCACTCCCCCACGGTCCATCTCCCCGGGGCCCCCATCACACACATACAGTGAAACCCATCTCATAACCACTGGCCTGCTGGTCCCTATGTGATTGTGGCCGTGGCTACTTTCCCTCCCCTTCCTCCTGCTATAGCCAGACTGGTGTTCTTTCTTTTCCTCAGTACACCGGTGCTTAGTCCTGCCTTGGACTCCTTCTGCCCTTTGTCTGGAATGAACTTTCTGCAGATCTCCATTTGGCTGAGGACTTTTTCACATTCAAATCTCAGCTCAAATGTCTGCGTAGAGACCTTTCCTGACCATGCATTCTGAGTGGCCACCCGGTCACTACCTACCACATCACTCCAGTTGCTTTTCATCATGGCATTTATCATATTCTAACTTGTGTTTGTTGTCTTTTTCTCTTCACATGCAGATGTTCTAGCATGTAAGATCTAGAAGAGTAGGGTCCATTTATATCTTTTAAAAAATTTTTTTAAATTGAATTTATTGGAGTGAAATTGGTTAATAAAATTACAGGTTCGAAATGTACAATGCTCTAATACATCATCAGTATATTGTATTGTGTGTTCAACACTCAGAGAGTTAAGTCTCCTTCCGTCACCATTTATCCCCCCTTTACCCTCTTCCACCTGTTCCACCTTCAGGCCCTTTTATATCTTGTTGAATGCTGCATCCTCAGTTCTTAGACTCCTACCTGGCCCAGAGGAGGTGCTCAATAAATATTTATGAAGTGAATAAGCTGATAACTATAGAGCTTGTTAAACTTGAAACGATAGTAAATGAGAAATTTAATTAGGAACAAAGTAGCTAAACACTGATACTTGTATCTGGTGGATGAGTGTGCTATCTCACTGCCTGGCCTGGTCACCAGCTGGCCCGTGCCTCATGGAGGTGTTATCTTCCCGGCCCTTGTGCAACCCTGGGCTGTTCCTTTGCTTCCTTCCTTGTGCTGTTCAGTTGGATACTGTGAAGGTTGCCTATAAACTGGCTGAATCAGACTTGGGTCACTTATTAACCATAGTGACTCTAAACCACGTTTTTATCTTTTAATGCCTCCTATCCAACAGCTGCAGTAGGGCTGTGCCTGCTCAGTGTGTTCCAAACTGAAGTTGAGTTAGTAGATACTCGGTGGAGCGTATCTGCATCATGCTCTGTGAGAGCATAACAAGGGAGACGGTTGGTGTATTAGGTGCCAAGTGTCCCATGACCTGCAAGTGGTGTTACCCTTTACTCGTAGGCCAGGAGAAGGGAAGCACCCATTGGTGGTCTTGCCTGCATCTGTTATTTCCTAAATGATCATTTTAAAAATGGTGATATTCCTGTCACATTTATCATCTGTTTTTCGCCTATAGAGAATTTTCCCTCATAAACATTTATTTACAGTTTATTTCTAAAATTTAGAAGGAAGATTGTTCTATCTTTGTCCCTTACAAAGGTTTTGCACATAGTGGTCCCTGCAGTAGATCTGGCAGCCGTCTCTGCACATTCGGATGTGCTGCATGGACCACCAGCCTTGGTGGGATGAGTCTTCAGCTTAGTCACACACAGTCTGCTGCTGCGAGATAACAGTGGCAGGTGAGGCGGGCTGAGCAAAGCCCGCTCCCTCCGGGGCCCTCACCGCTGCTGGCTGTGGCAGACTGATTCTCAGCTGGCCGTCGCCCATTTGCATGTGCCCAGGTGGCATCAGACCCTGGAAATGGTGTTGCCCATTTGTGTTATTTCCTAATAAAGGAACTATTCTATAGCAAGGTGAATACAGAGAGAATGTACTTTTGTTTATGTTTTTCGACTTTGTATTTTCTGCCAAATTCTGCCTCTGTTTTTTTTTTTTTTCATTCTCTGTCCCCTGCTTACAAATCAGTACATTTTTAGTCATGTTTGGTTTGGATCTTCTCATGCTGGGTAGGGGATTATACTTTTTGTATTTTCTGCCAAATTCTGCCTCTGTTTTTTTTTGTTTGTTTGTTTGTTTTTTTCCGTTCTCTGCCCCCTGCTTACAAATCAGTACATTTTTAGTTATGTTTGGTTTGGATCTTTTCATGCTGGGTAGGGAATTATACTCAAGAACACATACAGAGGACATGAGGGAACTGGAAAATAGGCAACAAGAACTGATTCAAGAGAAGATAGAACATGATGGGGCTTAATGTACTATGAGAGATATTAAAATCGGCTCATCCCCCCCTGGTTTTTATTAGCATTAGCTGGGGACTTTGGAAAAATACAGATGCCTGAGTCCTACTCTGAGAATTTCTGTTTTAATTGATCTGAGGCAGGGACCAGCTTGTGTGTGTGTGTGTGTGTGTGTGTGTGTGTGTGTGTGTGTGTGTATGTGTATGTGTGTGTGTTTCCTCCATAATCTCCATAGATCATTCTGTATGTAGTGTGTGTGTGTGTGTGTGTGTGTGTGTGTTTTTCCTCCATAATCTCCATAGATCATTCTGTATGTATCCAGGAATGAAAACTGGTGGATTATATATTTTCTATTTAGCTCTAGAAACCAGAACCAGTAGCATTGGGCGAAAGGTACAAGACAGAAAGGTACAATGAAAAATGTTCTGGTAATTAAAACTTTCTCCTCCTAGAAATACTCAAGTATACATGAGTTAACTTTCGTGAAGGATGCTGTGAAGATGACTGCTTTGGGTAACATGTAGGACTTGCTCATTCCTTACATTTATTTGTAGAAAGGAAGAGTGCTTCTGTGCTGCTGCAGGTTTGGCCTGGAGTGTGCAGAGATCAGTTTTGGGCACGTGGAGTTTGAGATGTTTTGGGGACATCTAGATGGAGATGCTAGTTGACTACGTGGCTTTGGAGCTCAACAGAGACGTGATGAAGAGAACATCAGTGAAAGGTGTGGTGGAAGTGACCTCCATACTTGCTTCATTTATTCAGCCCACATCTTATCCACGTGCCTGTGTTCATAGTGATGGACAGGACAGTGCTTCTGTGTTCATGGGCCTCATAGGCAAGGTCACTGAACACTGAAGGGTCTGTACACAATTCCCGGCAGCTTCTTGCCGTCTGTCAGCTAGACGGCTGCAGTCTAGAGCCCAGGGCTGCACCTGGATTGTGAAGTCCTCAGAAAAGTTCTCTGTAAGACATGTAAAATGACTGACAACATGTGCCGACATTGAGGTTAATGAGAAAAAGAGAAATTCTTGTGGTGATTGCTCAGCCCAGGAAATAAAATCTTGGAGAAAGCTTTTCAAAATCTTTTTTATTTATATTTTGCTTTTATTTTTTTCTTTTGGTCTCCTTTCCCTTTATCTCTTAAATTTTCCTACTTTTTGTAACATCATTGCTATCAGTTCTTGAATAGAGATATTGCTTGATAAACAATTATTCCTTAGTATCTGGTTTTTAAATTTGGTCATGTGCTCTCAAGTACTCATTAGAAATATGATATAAATGTAACTTTAACAACCACAGATATCGAGAGGCGATTCAGAAGTGGGATGAAGCACTACAGTTAACCCCAGATGATGCTACCCTGTATGAGATGAAGTCACAGGTAAGGGCTATGAAGAAGGCCACTTTCATTATGAAATTGCACTGTGTTTGTTTGATGAGCTTGATGAACCAAAATAGCATTTCCTGCTATTTTCTTTTTACTACTAAAATACAGTTTATTTGGGGAGAAATTGTTACGATATTATTTATGACTTTTTCTTATGTATCAAATTAGAAATTTGTTTACCTTCATAATTCAGTTAACTGCTATTTCAACCTAACTATGATATGAGCAGATGGGCATCTTTTAAAAAGTCTCTGGTAATCTCGTAAATAAATGAAATGTGTTTGTTTCCCTTGGAAATTAATTGTAGTGGATTTTGCAATAACTTTCTTCTAGTGGATTGGATTCTAGATGATGATATTTCTCTGAAAAATGGCCTAGTCCTTAGCAAAACGTCAGAATAGGCTCAATTCATTAATAGTTTAAAAATAACATTTGTACTTAAAAATACATTTTTAATATTTTGTGGGAAAGTTTATAAAGAAAACCTCTGACCACTTGGATTAAATTATCTAAGAGAACTTCAAATCTCAAAGCATTGATCATATTTTTGGCAGGAAATAGTTGCAATGCCGCCTTCATCCATGTGCCTAACATCTTTCCTGATGAGCTCAAACATAGGGTACATTCTTTATCAGCTGTGATTTTAGTTTATCCAGGAAAACCCCAAATTCTGTCTACTAAATAAAAGTGGTATGAGGACCATAATTTGGATAAATAATTTTCTTTTTTTAAAAAGTGTTTTTATTGATTGTGGGGGAGGGGGAGGAAAAGGGAGAGGGATAGAGAGAGAGAAACATCAATGAGAGAGAAACATCAATTGGCTGCCTCCTGCACGAACCCTACTGGGGATTGAGCCCGCAACCCAGGTGGGTGTGTGCTCTTACTGGGAATCAAGCCAGTGACCTCTTGGTTCATGGGTCAGTGCTCAACCACTGAGCCACTCTGGCCCGGCTAGATAAATCATTTTTAATCTTGAATCTGTATATACATATTAAAGGCAGGATTTGTGGTGAATTGTATGAAATGAGTTGTTTAATTTGGAACTTGATAATGATGATTGTTTCACAAATTTTGTGAAATGCACGTGGTCCCAAAGATTATTGATAATATGCAGCCCTTTTTTTTTTTTAAAGGTGAAGGGTTCAAGAATGCCCTGGTTTTTCTGGTGTGTAGTGTGAAGAACCCAGTTGTGGGGAGGCCTGTGGAATGTTTGCATGGCTTTTATAGCAGGAAGGTGTTCACTGGGGTTAGGGTGGGTGGTTGAACACATTTAAATTTACCTAGTTTAACAGCAAGACCTGGGGTACCCTAAAATCCACATTGTAAGTGGAATAAATAGAAGTGGAATTGAGAGATCAAATAGTTCTGAGCTACCATGGTGAGAGTATGACGGCATGGTTCTGACTGATGGACAACAGTGTTCAATAATTGGAAAGGGAATGGTTTACATTTTTATAGTATTTCAGGAGAAGGAAGAAGAATGTGATTCCTGACCCTGAATGGCAGTGGAGGAGTCAAAACCACTGAAATACTATGTTTACCAGACTGAAAATATGTTTTTAAAAATGGAAAGAGTTACTTATGTATGGTTATCTATTAGTAGTTTGCTAGTTTATGAATATTACTGACAGGTTTTGTTTCTTTTTTTGACTATAGGTCCTAATGTCACTTCATGAAATGTTCCCTGCAGTTCATGCAGCAGAAATGGCTGTGCAGAGAAATCCACATTCGTGGGAGTCTTGGCAAACTCTGGGGCGTGCTCAGCTTGGATTAGGAGAGATAGTGTTGGTAAGGAAGTCAGATATCTGATTATAATGCTAAAATTTTGTTGTTTTAATATTTACTTATTTATTTTTAAAGATTTTTTAAATTGAATTTTAAAGAGAAAGGAAGGGAGAGGGAGAGTTGTGATGGAGAAACATGGATCGGCTGACCGGGAATTGAACCGGCAACTTTTTGGTGCATTGGACAACTTCCAACCAACTGAGCCACACTGGCCAGGGCTATGATGCTAAAATTTTATTTTGACATGTTTTGATCAGCTCAACCCAAACGTTAGTCATTTATCAAATCTATGTAAAAAATAAATAGCCAATCAACCCTTAAAGGTATTAAACCACAAACACAGGTCAGAGTTATTACTGTTATTTACATCATAAACACCAATTCAATCAGGGTCAGAATATTTTTCAGGTAATTTGAATTATGAAAGTTAATAAAATTTCACATAGCCTGAATGCATCCTGACCAGGATCGAAATCGAAACTTAGATCTATGCCCTGACTGAAAATTGAACCTGCAACCTTTTGGTGTATGGGGTGACACTCCAACCAACTGAGCCATCTGGCCAGGGCAAAATTTTAAGTTTTTTAAATAAGAGTACTCATTGGTTAGCTGTTTTATTTTTTTCTATTTATATGGTTTTGCCCATTATATTGTGAAGTTCTTGGAGGAATTAAAACTTATATTTTGTCCTCCTTAAATGTTTTTTAGGGCTCTATTTGAAGAAATTCTAAATTTGTAATATTTATGTAAACTTAACCTGTTCTTTTGAAAGACTGGAATCGTTAAAAATTACTCAATGTCATAATGAAGGGATACTATGAAAAATATATTGAAAACAAGCTAAAATTTCTGACATAACAATTCTTATTACAGGGGTGGGCAAAAGTAGGTTTATAGTTATTTGTATGAAAAATAACACAATAATTAATAAATAATAATACAAGAATAAACTCTTTATTTTGTGCACTCACAACTATAAATCTAATTTGCCCCACCCACAGATATAAACATAAGAAAATACATAGTTAAATAGAACGGATAATAAATTAAAAGTCAATAGTTGGTAGATCTCTATAAGTAATTATTTATATTTTTATACAGAATTGGGTGTATATGTTGGAAAATGAATATAGACTTGGTTCTTCATTTTCTAATTTTTTGAGGTGTAAAGGTAGGTCTTTTTGGTTTTTTTTTTAACTTGAGATTTTTCTTTTTTAACAGGCATTTAGTGCTATAAACTTCCCTTTTCTGCTTTTGCTGCATCTCATAATTTTAGTGTATTTTTATTTTCATTTGTGTCAAGATCTTTCTTAATTTCTCTTTGATTTCTTTTTGAACTTACTGATTGTTCAAGAGTGCGTTAATGTCTGCATATTTGTGAATTTTCCCATTATCCTTTTGCTGTTGATTTGTAGTTTATTCCATTTTGGTCAGAAAAGATGGTTGACATGCCTTTTTAAATTTGTTAAGACTTGTTTTGTGGTATAACATGTTTTCTGTCCTAGAAAATGTTCCATGTGTACTCGCCAAGATGTCTGTTCTGCTGCTGTAGGGTGAAAGGTTCTGTGTAGGTCTGTGTGGTCCGTTGCTCAAATCTTCTGTTTCCTTATTGATGTTCCTCCCTTCAGTTCTGTCCATGTTGACTTTATATACACTGGTGTTCTGATGTTGGGAGCGTATGTTTTGATAAGTGTTATATAATTATGGGGAGTCGACCATTTGTCGTTATGCAGCGTCTGCCTTGATCTCCTGTGACACTCAGTGCATGTTAGCATTACTGTGATCTAAACTCTTGGCTTCAACGTTGTGCATTTCTGGTACCTTCCTGATCCTGATTTAGCCCTGGAAATCACTGGATTCATGTATTAGCTGATCTGCAGAAGCTGAAAATGTGTTTGCCTTGTTTTGAGCTATAATATCAGTACCTCTATTTTGATGGACTTTTAATCCTCATCAGCAATTTGTCAATCCCTTTCACAGTTTTATAACCTTTGTTTTTTTCTTCATAGTCATCATCCATGGTTAGGGCACCGCCCTAACTTCCATCCTTACATTTATATACTATATTTTATATATATATACATGCAGATATTGTGGATTTTGCTAAACACATTCATTTTTTTTTAAAACAATGCAAGCAGAAAAACCTGGCCTTTTCTTTCCCTAGGCAATTCGAAGTTTTCAAGTAGCCCTTCATATCTATCCAATGAACCCTGAAATATGGAAAGAAGACCTTTCTTGGGCAAGAAAGCTCCAGGAGCAGCAAAAGGTAGCCCAGAGGATTAAAAAAAATGAAGCACCAGCGGAAGTCACACATGTCTCACCAAAGTCCATTCCCGACTATGACTTTGAAAGTGATGAGATTGTTGCTGTTTGTGCAGCTATTGCTGAGAAACAAAAGCCAGTTTCAGATAATAAAACAATGGTTATTGTGTCAGCTTCTGGGACCGTGGAGACTGTAAGTGAGAAGGAAGATGGGGCCACGGCCCCAGATGGCTCCGTTTTTATCAAAGCCCGATGAAGCTTAGCAGGAGCTACTTGAATCCACCTGTTTGATTGCCACAAAGTTTTAGGCAAACAGGCATTTACTCTGGAGAAACAGGGTCACACTCCTGTTTGTAAAATCAGTTTTTCAGATGAGGCATATACAAACTAAAGGGTAGGATTATTATAGAGTGTTTGGACTCTGCTTTGATAAGTTATGATTTAAACTTAAGATTAGAATTCTGACTACAATGGTTTTTGATGAATAAACTTAATCCAAATGTATGAGTGAATACATTTTAAAGACAAAACTTGGAAGTGAATGCTCCAGTAGTCAATAACTTGATGGCCAGTGTTATTAAAATATTGACTTTTTTATGACAAAGGAAGTGGGTGATTTCTCTCCCTCCAAAAAAATATACTGCTATTACTGTTCACTCTTCTATTTTTCTTGTTTTATTAGAGTAACTTCGTCATGAAGCTTGAGTATTTTGATGTTCATGTTTGATTCAAAATTGTCATTTGGTTATAGGTAGATTCTTTGCAAGTTCAGCTGGAAATGCATGCAACTGTGTGTGTTCCGGACATTTTCTGTAGAGACTCTTACATCAGATTGATGCTTGTTTTGACTTTAAAATTACTATCACCATGGTAGTTGCCACCTTCAGTATTTTATGGATGTGGGAATTACTGATACATTGTCAGAATGATGGTTTTAATTTTTTAATTGTTAAAGTAGACAGTCCTTAACACAAGTGAGCCATTTTTGAGATGTGCATTATTTAAATGAATGGCTCTTATAGCTATATCATAAATTGTATGGCAATGTTGTCCTAGTCAAAAGCAGTATTTCCTTTATTTTTAAAAGCTTAAAAACCTTGTCCTGGTTGGTGTGGCTGAGTTGGTTGAGTGTTCTCCCATGCACCAATAGGTTGCTGGTTTGGTTCCCAGTCAGGGCACATGCCCAGGTTGTGGGCTTGATCCCCAGAAGGGTGTGCAGGAGGCAGCCGATCAATGTTCCTATCTCTCCCTTCTCCCTCTCTTTTCCTCTCCCTCTAAAAAGCAATAAAAACATTAAAAAAAATAAAAAAGAATAAAAGCTTAAAAACCTTGAAAATAACTTATCTTTTGCTTATAACTGTTCAACTGATGCTTTGGAATTCTTTGTCTAGATAACTTGTTCGGAACTGCTCAGTAAAATGAGAAATAACCACAGTTTTAAATAACTAAATTATATCTTTCTAAAAAGAAAACAAATGTAGTGATGTTAAAATCCAATGAGTTAATAACTTAGGCACAGCACACATGGAGACTGAAATGTGATTTGTGATAGGATCTCGTGAATAGAGAAAGGTATATTGAAGAAGTAGTTCATTGAAACAACACAGTTATAGCCCCAAATCAGTATTGTCATTGCTAATGTGAACTGTTATTTTTATAGCACACCCGTTGTAGTACAGTTACATAGAGCTGCTGGGCACTGTTACTTCTGACCCTCAGGAAGCTTTATTGGTGTGAAATTACTTTTATCCTTGGTGGAGATGAAAGTAAGTTACTCTGTTTGAAGAAATCTTCTGTTGGAGCATTTGTTGGATGCATGTAAGTACTGGTTTCTATTTTTCTGAGATAATTTAAGGTTTTCTTTTAGTAGAATGTTTACCTCTTTTTTTTTTTTCAGAGTCTGAGAAGTCAGCACTTGCCTTGAAAGGTATTACATTTCCCCCCAAAGTTATATTAGAAATTTATCTCTGGTTGGAGAGGTTAATTTTAGAATGATCCAAAAAACAAATATCAATTATATTTTATTTTATGAAAAATGTTCTCAAAGGGTGGGTAGTTGGGTGTCTAGAGAAGTTGGTATGTTGTTTTGAGTTAATGGGTATTTGTTTATTATATAATTGGTGAATAAGTCATTTTTTTTTCTGTATTTTAAAGATTTGCCTATTATTTTGTGTTGTTAGCTTTTGGAAAATTAGGTTTTTTCTTTCTTATGTGAAAATGAAATATGTAAAGCACTTGTATGTTAAGTTGCATATGAAGTACTTGGTAAATGCTAGCTTTTTCTATGAAGAGGTGGAATTAGTTTGGAGATATTTAACCTGAGTTTTTCCTGATCTTAAGAAAGGAGGAGAACTTCTTTGTGATTTTTTTTATCTGAAAGTGAGGAGTCACTACTTTTGATAGTATAGGACAGATGGTCATCAGTTGGGGGTTGTTCCAGAAGAGACAAGACCCAGGATGGGGTGCAGGTTGCCACTAGATGCTGCTGAAGAATCCGTGTTCCCTTTGAAGTGACATCTGTAGGCCAGGTTCGTCTCCTTCTCACTCACATAAAGGACATAGGATGGTTTACACATGAGATGGAGGAGAAAGAGAAATCCTGAATTATGGAGAAGAAAGGCAGCTCATTTCTCCAGGCCCCAAAAGATGCTTAGCTAACACTCTTTTGTGCATGAAGAGAAAATGGCAGACATTATTTTATAGGGAGGTGAGTACTGAAATGCTGACATTTACTAAACTTAACTGACTGAAATAAATTCTTTTGAATCTGAAAGAAAAATAATTGATGTTCATGGTAGGATATAAAGATGTTTAATATACTTCCTGAAACAACACTACACATTAAAATTATATGGAATACAATTTGTATTTTTCTTGGTGGAAAATTGTATGGCATAGACACTCATTAGTCAGAACACTGTACATCCAGACCATGCCTGCTAATTTGAGAGTCATGTATTATTCTCTAGACAATAGGTTCTTGTCTTGTTTTTCATCTGAAATCTAAGAAATGCTACATAAACATTGAAAAGTCATGCAATGTATAGATCACAGAACCTAAATCTCTTGTAATTCAGGTCTATGTACAGTATTTTATGGTAGTTTTAAGTTGATGTCATATGGCAAAACTATAATGAAGACTTACATCAGAAAGGATTGTCTCAGAAAGCTGGAGTTTCCATGATTATAACTTATCAGTACAGCCTTTTGAATTTGAAAATAAAGTTATGCTTTATGTCATGTTGTCAAAAGCTAGTTTCATTGCCTTTCCCAGCAGTAGGAAAACGGTCAGTCATTTCTTAATTTCAGGCTTCATGAGTCAGAAGCCCTTCCAAATTGACTTTGGACTTTTATTTCATGACATAATGTATCCAAATGAGTTGTGAGTTGACACAAGAACCAAAGTTTCATAATTATCTTCAAATCAATGATAATATTAAATTTTTTTTTCTGAGAGATTATTAAACTGATAGTGGATTTTGTAATTGATGGCATTTTAGGATTGAAAAGGTAATGTGTTGTTTTTAAAACCAGTAATATAGAAAGGATGCGAACTTCTTTTACCAAAATAAATTGAAATATGTCACTTTAGTCATTTGCAATTCAATAGGCCCACTTGAATGGAAGAGAAGGGGCAGCCCTATAGCTAGCCTACCGTGAAACGTGCCTTAATGTGTGTTGTGTGTGAACTTCACCTGTTGTGTGTGCCAAGGTGGAAGAAAGGTTGAGAAACGTTGATCTTCACTTTGTTGGGAGGCAGAGGGTAGAGATGGCTTCTTTTCACAGTGCTTCTTTGGACATCTATTAGCCAAGGAATCCTGATCTCTCTCTTCCCTCCCCCCTCCCTCCCCCTCAGGAGAGGGAATTTAGGATAAATAACTGGACATAAAAGCTCCTTTCTCTCCTTCATTTGGATTCATCTTGCCTGCAGAGAGCCAAGCTTAACAGATACGTAAGCTTGGCAGTGAAGGCTCCCTGCCTCTGTGGTTGGGCAGGACTGCCCACGCTGGGTGAGTAGGTCTGTCTAATTCTGGGTTTGATATTAGGCGGCCGTTGTTGGCATGAATCTAAATTACATCCTTTAACCTAGACTTCTTCAGCAATACGTCCGCCATACTGGTTCTCCACCTACCTGACTTCTTTTGTCTCTCAAATGTTTCAGAAGTCAGGAGGGGGCATGGGTACTATATGCCCCCTCCTAACCCCCAACAAAAAATGAGTGCAGATTATATTTCAAAGTAAGCACGAGACAAACCAAATTAGGAAATTTTTTCTAATTCTAGATTTTTGTGGTAAACCATGGAAATTCTATTGAAATGGGTAATGTTAATTACAAGGTAACATGTAAACATTTGTTCAGGATATTTAAAAGGTCTACTGACTTGGAATTGTGATAGACCACAATGTTGACTTTAGTTTTAATTGGAAGGAAAGAATGTGAGACGAACCATGATATCCTCTGTGAACACGGTCAACTTTCTTACATATAATAAAACACACCCATTATAAACTTACAGTTTGAGGAGTTTAGACATGTGAATGCCTATGCAATCACCATTACCATCAAGATACAGAATATTTCCATCGCCAAAAAGTTCTCTTGGGCTCATTTGCAGTCATTCTCTTCCACCCCAACAACCAGTACTGTTCTGTTCCCTGTGACGATACATTAGATTTAACTTATCTAGAATTTCCAATACAACATGTACTTTGTGTCTGACATTTTTTGCTCAGTATAATACTTTTGTGAACCATCCATGTTGAGATTTATCCATGTTACTGTGCATGTCAGCAATATGTTCCTTTTTATTGTGGAGTAGTATTCTGTTGTGTGAATATACCACAATTTGTAGCTTTTCATATTATTGATGGACATCTAGGTTGTTGATGAATATCTTGAGTTTTGATCTGTTATAAATAAAGCTGCTATGTATACTAGTATGTGTTACAAGTTAGTGTGTGGATATGTTTTCACTTCTCTTGGGTTAACTACTTGGGGGTGGATTTGCTGAGTTTTATGGTAAATATATATGTGACTGTAGAAGAAACTGTGACATTTTTCCAATTTGTTTCGTACCAACAATGTATTAAAAAGTTTCAGTTGCTCCATCTCCTTGCCAGTGCTTGGTATTGCCATTGTTTTTTATTTGAGTCACTTTAGTGGATGTGTAGTGTATCTCATTGTGTGTTTTTTAAAAAAATTTCTTTATTGTTTAAGGTATTACATATGTGTCTTCATCTCCCCTATACCCCCCCCCCCCATGCCCTCAACCTCCCTGTTTTTCATTGTGGTTTTAATATACATTTCCCTGATGATGTTGGGCATCTTTTCATTTGTTTATTTGACATTTGTATCTTCTTTTGGGAAGCACTTGTGCAAATCTTTTGCACAATTTTTTTTTGGGTTATCTTTATATTGAGCTGTAAGAAATTTTCTATATTCTGGTTAAAAATCCTTTATGAGATCTATGGATTGTAAATATTTTGTCCCTATCAGTGACTTGCCTTTTTGTTTTCTCTTTAAAATATTTTTATTGATTTTTAGAGAGAGAGGAAGGAAGAGGGAGAGATAGAAGCATCAATGATGAGAGAGAATCATTGATTGGGTGCTTCCTGCACACCCCCTACTGGGAATTGAGCCTGCAACCTGGGCATGTGCCCTTGACTGGAATCGAATCCAGGACCCTTTAGTCCACAGGCCGTCGCTCTATCCACTGAGCTAAACCAGCTAGGGCCCTTTTTGTTTTCTTAATGTCCTTTGAAGAGCAGAAGCTTTACATTTTGATGGAGTCCAGTTTTCATTTGTTTTCTTTTATGTTATAGTTTCTTTGGGCTGAGAATCTGCTTACTCCAAAGTCAAGACAGAGT